CGCCGCCATTGTCTTCTTCTTCCGTTTGCCCCCGAAAAGTCGATCCCTAGTCTGTCTCCGATCTCCGATGCCGCTGCCTCCCCCTGCTCAGACTCAAAGCGAGCCGACGGGACTAGAATATGAGGACCTCGTCGACGCCCGTCAATGTTGGACTCGGCAGGTACACATGCTGGAACAACCATCTTGTGATCTGGCCAAAAATTCACACGATCGAAGACGCCTACGGCGAATCACCACCGCCCCCTGTCTTTGTGGAAGCGCCTATGTGGCAGAACGTTGAGGCCAGACCTGCCAAGCTATCGGACCATGTGTTCCCCGAATCGGTTTGGAAAGCCTTCAGGGAACACGTGGGCATCTTGAAGGTCTTCTTGGAGGACGTCTTGGCCCTTTCGGGCCTTCTTGGAGGACGTCTTGGAGGGCTCTTGGGCCCTCTTGGGGCCGTCTTGGAGGCCACCTGGGCCGTCATGGGGCCCTCTTCTCTGGGCCGATCTTGGGTGCCTCTTGGGCCGTCTTGAGCAGTCGGAATGCCGAGAAGAAGCAAATTCCAAAATCCTTCAAAAACCTAAAAACAATCAATGATTTCGGCCTCTGCGGGCCCTCCTGAAGGACCTCTTGGAGGCCTCTTGGGCCGTCTGGGAGGCCTCTGGGGGGCCTCTTGGGCCGTCTTGGGCCTTCTTGGACTCTCTTGGGCCGTCTTGGAGGCCGTCTTGGACCATCTTGGGCGGACTTGGAGGCCATGTTGGGCCATCTTGGCGATTTGTTGAGGATGTCCCGAGCGAAACGACCGTTTCAGGGAGGATTGTTCGTGGAGTTTGCGCTTCTGGAAGAGCCTCCCGGGACCCCAGCGGGACGGGCCGAAGCGCCAGGGGGAGTTCTTTTGGAAAAAGAGCCAAAACCAAAACCGATAGGATCCAGCACGCCAGGCACCCCTGCGATGAATCGACAGGGGGCGGCGGATCTAGTGGACTTCGGCCCAGCACGCCACCGTGCCTGGGTGGTGTGTCAGAGGCCTCATGGATGTTGGTTGCGATCTCGCGGTTGGCCTCTCGGGTACCTCTTGGAGGCAGATTTGAACCCGCTTCGGGTCCTTTCGGAGCCTCTTGGGGCCTCTTTTAGGCATCGTGGGGGCCTCTTGGGGGCCTCCCTGGTGATGCGGCCTCTTGGGGGCCTCCTGGGGCGGAATGCGTGAATTTCAGGTTCGGGGCCCCCTTCTTGGTCCCCTCTTGGGGATGCCTTGGAGCGGTCTGGGGGGCCTCTTGGGCCGTCTTGGAGCGTCGGAAGCCCGAAAAGGCGAGAAGGCTAAATACCTTCAACAAGCCAATGATAATCAACGATTTTGGCCTCGTGGGGCCCTCATGGGAGGCCTCTTGGAGGCCTTTTGAGGCGTCTTGGCGCCGTTTTGGGCCATCTTTGAGCCATCTTGGGCATCTTGAAGCGGTCTTTGGGCGTCACGGGGCCCTGTTGAATCCTCTCAGCGGCCCCTCTTTAGACGAGCCCTGTTAGCCCGTCTTGGGGCCGTCCTGGGCCAAGAACGGAACGCTGTGGGGCCCTCCTCTCTCACAAACAGCGAACGAATCATCTGGATCAGTGATCCGCTCTTCGTAATATGATTTGACAAAACACACCATCATTATTGGATGGTAGCCATCTTCCGCCTTAGGACCCGATGCACTCGTATTCTGGGCGGAGGCTTCGTAGGCTGCTCGGACGCTGCAGGACGCTAGAGGGACGGAGGAGGAAAACAGGAAAAACAAGGAAAACAGGAACAACCATGTGTTTTCAATTGGAAAACAGGAAAAACTTTAAAACAAAGAGCGACAGTCACAGGTTTCGCTGCCGTTTCCTGTTTTTCCATGTGACAGCGCAAGGTTTCTAATGTTTTGAACGTTTTTCCTGTTTTCCCCTCCTCCGTTCTGCTGCGAGGAAGGGCCGTGGGCCGCTCAGAGACCCCAGGGCGCTCAGAGGAAGGAGGAGGAAAAAAGGAAAACATGAAACACATGAAGAACCTTGTGTTTTCACATGGGAAAACAGGAGAGACTTGAAACAGAACGGCCGCCACAGGTTTCGCTGCTTTTTCTTGTTTTCCTATGTGAAAACTGAGGGTTGTTCATATTTTTCATGTTTTCCTTGTTTTACGATTTTCCGTTCTGCTGCGAGGAAGGGCCGTTGGCCGCTCAGAGACCTCAGGGCGCTCAGGCGAAGGAGGAGGAAAACAAGAGAAACCGGACAACCAAGAACAAACATGTGTTTGCACATGGAAAAACAGGAACAACTCGAAAAAAAACGACAGTCACGGGTTTCGCTGCTTTGTGCTGTTCTTCTTTGTGAAAACACAAGGTGTTCCATGTGTTTCCCTTTTTATTGTTTTCCCCTCCTTCCCTTTTCTTCCTTCTCCTCCCCCTCTTGTTCCTCGGCCTTCTCCTTCTCCTCCTCCTCCTCCACCTCCTCATATCTATCCTCCTCATCCACCTTCTCCTCCCCCCGCCAATCCACTCTTCGGCTGCCATGGAGGTACCCGCGAGCATATCATAACTCATTAGCACGCGGCTGCGTGTGATCAAACACCAGCAACCCGCATGGCAATTGCTTATGTTTGTGTGCAAGGTGCAAGATTACGCCCGTGCTACTCACTTGAGCTTGCGCCCCCTGGACGTCGCAGTGGAGCAAGTAGATCGGTATGTCGGCGAATCCTTCCCCGTGGCATTCCACATCTTACAAAACTCGCTAACCCAGAAACGACTGCTTGCGGGCCGCAAAGAATTCAAAACGAAGTTGGCGGAGCGAATCCAGCTGTTAAACGATCTCAGGAAGCTCCGACGGGAGGCCCTTCGCGCGCGTCGTCTCCGCCTTTGTCCATTTGCGCTTGTTGCACTTGTGGTTCTTTAGGTGAAACTTACCGATCAGGAAATAGGTCACACTACGGAAGAACGTTGCGTGGTTCTTTTGCACGTGTTGTTCAAAATGGCATGTGTCATCGTGGAACAGCAAATCAGCGCGGACGTTGGGGGCCACTGAGCATTCCCACAACGAGAATATGGCGGACAAGCTGTGCGTCGTCAAGGCAGTCATGAGGCTGTCCAACGTCCGCGCTGATTTGCTGTTCCACGATGACGCATGCCATTTTGAACAGCACGTTTTTTATAACACGATGCGGCATTCGTCCGTAGTGTGACATATTTCCGGATCGGTCAGGTTCACCTAAAGAACCACAAGTGCAACAAGCGCAAGTGGACAAAAGGCGGAGACGACGCGCGCGAAGGGCCTCCCGTCGGAGCTTCCTGAGATGTTTAACAGCTGGATTCGCTCCGCCAACTTCGTTTTGAATTCATCGCGGCCCGCAAGCGGTCGTCTCTGGGTTAGCGAGTTTTGTGAGATGTGGAATGCCACGGGGAAGGATTCGCCGACATACCGATCTATTCGCTCCACTGCGAAGCCCAGGGGGGGCAATCTCAATGGAGTAGCACTGGCGTAACCTTGCACCTTGCACACAAACATAAGCAATTGTCATGCGGGTTGCTGGTGTTTGATCACACGCAGCCGCGTGCTAATGAGTTATGATATGCTCGCGGGTAGCTCCATGGCAGCATGGCAGCCGAAGGGTGGATTGGCGGGGGGAGGAGGAGGAGGTGGAAGAGGAGGATCAAGAGGAGGTGGAGGAGGTGGAGGAGGAGGAGGAGGAGAAGGAAAAGGCCGAGGAACAAGAGGGGGAGGAGAAGGAAGACAAGGAAGAGAAAGGACACCCTCCCATCCCCCTCCCATCTCCCACTCTTCCTCCCTCATCGGAATGCAATGCGTCTGCAACGCAATGCGATTGCAATGCAACGCGATTGCCATGGAATGGAATGCAATGCGGAGGAGGGATGGAGGAGGAGGAGTGAGGAGTGAGGGCAAGGGATAAAGGGAATACTGATAGAAGGGAGGAGGAGGAGTGAGGAGGGAGGGGGAGGGGGAGGGGATGGGGAGTGGAAGGGAGGGGTGGAAGAGATGACGATGATGATGATGATGATGATGATGATGATGATGATGATGATGACGATGATGATGATGATGGCGATCAGGATGATGATGATGATGATGATGATGATGATGATGGTGATGCTGATGATGATGATGGTGATGATGCCGATGACGATGACGATGCGGATGCGCACGGTGTGGGACAGGATGGCCCCGCAGCGTTCCCTTCTCTCCTGGGCCCAAACAAGTCAAGCGGGACACCGCGGCAAGCCTCAGGGGAACCGCGCCAAGCCCCGGAAGATTTGGAATTTTTGGGTCCAGGCCTTTAAAGCAGCCCCTCAGGACCGAGGACTAAGGCTCAGGGGTTTGGGCAAAGGGCCTCAGGACACGCCCACTCCGTGCCCAGGGCACGGTGGCGGATATGTTGGTGAGGGTTGGTCTCTTTCCTTGAGCGCATATGAACTAGCTTGGTGACGGCATCTTGCGTTGAGTCGGACCTCGGACTACCAAGGGCAGTCCCACGTGTTCGTTGGACGGCCTCGCCACCCCACTGCTGCAGCCGAACCAGCAGGCATATTTTGCGCCATCCATCGGAGCGAGCCGCAACAAGCAGCACAGTCCAGCACGACCCCCCTGCTCGTCCTCCATTCCTCGCAGCCTTCGTCGTCCTCGCTGTCCTTTTCCTCCCCACCCTTTCCCACTGCCCTCCCCTCCCTCTGGAAGGAGGGGGGAAGGAGTGAGGGGTGCAAGGGTTGAGAGAGGAAGGGAGGGGGAAATAAAGGAAGTTGGGGATCACAGTGAAAGGGGGGGAGGGGTTGGATGTCCTCCTCCCCCACACTCCTCCACCTCCTCCTCCTCCTCCTCCTCCTCCTCCTCCTCCTCCTCCTCCTCCTCCTCTCTCCTTCCCTCCCTCCCTGCCTCCTCCTTCTTCTCCTCCTCCTCCTCCTCATCCCTCCTTCTCTTTTGCCTCCTCCCTCCTCCCTCCTCCCCCCCTCCTCCCTCCTCCTCCTCCTTCTTCTCCTCCTCCTGCTCCTCCATCCTCCTCCTCCTCCTCCTCCTCCTCCTCCTCCTGCTCCTCCATCCTCCTCCTCCTCCTCCTCCTCCTCCTCCTCCTCCTCCTGCTCCTCCTCCTCCTCCCTCTTCCTTCTTCCTCCTCCTCCCATTTTCATTTACCCGGGGCAGGATGGTGGCTTCCACCCCGTCTGCGTGCATTGGTTCGGGGACAACCACAACGGCGCGGGCATCCTGTGCAGGCAGCTCGGTTACGCGACGGGCACGCTAATCAGGCAGCACGCGGAGAAGGAGGAGGAGGAGGAGGGGGAGGAAAAGGAGGAGGAGGAGGGGGAGGAGGAGGAGGAACAGCAGGAGGAGGAGGAGGAAACGGATGATGAGGAGGAGGAGGAGGAAATGGAGTTGTCGTCGTCGTCGTCGTCGTCGTCGTCGTCGTTGTTGTTGTTGTTGTTGTTGTTGTTGTTGTTGTTGTTGTTGTTGTTGTGGTTGTTGTTGTTATTTTGTTGTTGTTGTTGAACTCTCACGTCTGAAGAAGAATTAGTGTCGATCCCCCCCGTCTGGTGCACATTGTTTTTTTGTTCGATTGAAGTGCCCTTCTTGGGGCTCGCACCCTGCTTTTATTAGGGAAAGCCTTCAGGGTCAAACTGTGTTGTTGGGCCCCGGTTTGCAACAACAGCGGCTCCCGCTTGATACCCCCTCACAATTGATTGAAGAATCGCGCTCTCGCATGGGATTTCCTTGCAATTTACCACCGGATCGCGGCTCCCGCTTGATACTTCCTCACAATGTATTGAAGAATCGCGCTCTCGCTAGGGACTTCCTCGCAACTTGCCACCGAATCGCGGCTCCCGCTTGATACTTCCTGACAATTTATCCAGATGCCGCTCCTCGACACTCAGGAATCGCGCTCCCGCTACATATTGCTTGGCGGTTCAAGCAGAATTTACGCTTCAACGACCCGCCCGCTCGACCTGCCCGTTTGGGCCTGCCCGCCCGACCAGCCCGTTAGGGACTGCAGTCGCCGCTCGCTGCCCTTCGCCCGCCTTCGATGCCCCTCGCTGCCCGTACTGGTTCTGCGGTCGCCTTCGCTCGCTGCCCTTCGTGGCCCCGTTGCAGCCCTTCGTGGCAGGGAATGAGTACCCCCCCCAAAGGGGGTACGATCGAAGACGAAGAGGGCGGGTATCCAGGGTTTGGGGTATGCATATAGAACGACACGCGAGCAGATAAGAGCGAGCAGTCTTAAAATGGTTGTTGTTGTTGTTGTTGTTGTTGGATATTCGTTTCTGGAGGATAATGATTGGGGATCTCCAGAAAAGGTTCCGCGCGCTCTCGCCTCGACGCCGGCTATACTTTCTCTGAAAACGAGGCTCCCGCTAGAGCGTTGGCTTGAGTCTAAATGTGGGCCCTTGGAGGCCCAGCTACGACGACAACGGCTCCCGCTCGATACCTCCTCACAGTTTACCCGGAGACACCCTGGCCAGAGAGGCCCCCTAACTCAGGAATGGCGCTCTCGCTCGAGATTTCCTCGCAATTCAATCAAGTTGGCGGCGGCCCAGCCACGACGACAAGGGCTTTTGCTCGATACTTCCTCACGGTTTACTCCAGGAGCCCCTTGCCAAGAAGGCCCTCGAACTCAGGAGTTTTCGCGTAATTCAGGCAAGTTGGTGCAGGCCCGGACACGGCGACAAGGGTTCCCGTTCGATATTTGTCCATGGGTATGCCGAGAGCTCTTGGCCAGAGAAACCCCCGAACTCAGGAACGGCGCTCTCGCTCGAGACGTCCTCGCACTTCAGTCAGTGGCCGACAAGGAAGAGATTCCCCCCGAAAGGGGGTGCAATCGAAGACGAAGTTGGCGGGTATCGAGGGTTGGGGTATACGGAATACAAGACGCACGTGCCAGTAAGAGCGAACAAACTAAAACTGATTGTTGTTGTTGCTGCTATTTTTGTTGTTGGTGGTGTTGGTATTGTTGCTATTGTTGTGTTGTTGTTGTGTTTGAGAGAGGGGCGTGTGTGTGTGTCTGTGTGTGAGAGAGAGAGAGAGAGAGAGAGAGAGAGAACAAAAAAAGCGTGCGTGCGTGCGTGCGTGCGTGCGTGTGTGTGTGTGTGTGTGTCTGTTTGTGTGTGTGTGTGTGTGCGCGGCACAACGTTGCTCATCGCCTTCGTGGTGCTCTTCTCCCTCCTGGACGTCGACCTGGTCAAGTGGCACGTCCTCCTCTGCAGTACTTGAGGCTGGTGTTCGTGACGTGATGTTGACGGCAACACCACATCGCTCGCCCTCCGGGTCTTTGTCTCCGTTCCTTGTCCGCGGCGTACCTTTTCCTGTGCAAGCTCTCCGACACCGCCTGCACCCCGGGCTCCACCCGCTCCGGCCGCCTGAGGCCCCGCCTTCCTGAGCCCTGTCTCCCAAATTAAAGCTGTGCGTAGCCCGCCTAGCTTTTAGCGGAAGAGGTTCGCTCTCGCCCCGCCGACCAAAAAGTGTGTGTGTGTGCATGTGTGTGTGTGTGTGTGTGTGTGTGCGTGTGCGTGTGCGTGTGCGTGTGCGTGTGCGTGTGCGTGTGCGTGTGCGTGTGCGTGTGCGTGTGCGTGTGCGTGTGCGTGTGCGTGTGCGTGTGCGTGTGCGTGTGCGTGTGCGTGCGTGCGGGGGGGGGGATGGGCGAGCGGGGCTACTATGCCAACTGGGCGCGGGGGGGGGGAACCTTCGTTTTTGCAGCTTGCACGACGGCAAGACTGTGAAGGGGGGAGGGGGCGGGAGGAGAGGGGGGAGGGGGGACAGGAGGCTGGGAGGAAGGATAGACGGGGGGGAGGAAGGGCGGCAGGGCGCTAAGGGCAAGGGAGGGCAGGGAAGGTGGAAGACCGTGGGGAAGATCGTGGGGGGACCGAGAGCACTCTCTCGAGCGTCGGGCGACGGGAGGGCGCGGGGGAGGAGGAGGAGGAGGAGGAGGAGGAGGAGGAGGAGGATGATGGGAGGAGGAGGAAGAAGGAGGGAGAGGGATGGCGGAGGGGGCCAGGGGGAGGGAGGACGGGGGGGCAGGGCGGGGGCAGGGAGAAGGCCGGACCCTGCCCAGAGCGTCGTGCAGAACTTCCACGGTAAGAAGGAACCGGAAAAGGGGGGGCAAGGAGGAAGAGGAGGAGGAGGAGGAGGAGGAGGAGGAGGAGGAGGAGGGCATAGGAGGATGATTAGACGAGTCGTGCAGAGTGCCGAAGGTAAAGGTCAAGAGGAGCAGGGCGGAGCATTCGACTTAGGTGTTCTCAAAAGCGGATTCGATTTTGCATTGACATGCCCGGTCGAGATGACAGGGCCTCTGCGTCCGTGTCCCGCCTCCCCTTCCCCTATCCTCCTCGTCCCCCGCTTCTTCCTGTCCCCCTCCCCCTCCTCCTAGTCTTCCTCCTCCTCCTCCTCCCCTCCTAGTCTTCTCCTCCTCCTCCTCCTCCTCCTCCTCCTCCTCCTCTTCCCCCTAATCTTCCTCCTCCTCCTCCTCCTCCTCCTCGTCCTAGTCTTCCTCCTCCTCCTCTTGCTGTGCAGGCTGAAAGACGACCCGGACAGGGCCACCGCCTCGTACGGCGGGCGCCCCAGCGGTGACGACGCCCGGGGTAGGGCGGAAAGAGGACGGCTGCCGGAGACTGGGAGGAGGGGCAGGGCCAAAGGGCCACGATGATGACAATGGCAACGATGCTGCTGCTGCTGCTGCTGCTGCTGATGATGATGATGATGATGATGATGATGATGATGATGCTGCTGCTGCAGAGCGCCCTCCCGTCCCACTGCTGCTGAAGAGCGCCCTCCCGTCCCAAAGGCCCCTCCTCGTAGGCCAGTGGAGGGTGTCCCCCTTCCACTGCGGCGCGGGCCCAGGCGGGGAGGTGCGGGCCCTGTGGGTCTCTGCACGGCGAGGGCCTCGTGTGTGCTTTGAGGGGCGCGGCAGGGATGGCCGCTTGGATTTTGGCATCATGGCGCCAGCTGACTTCGGCCAGGAACCTTGGCTTGGCGTGGCGCTCCGCCGCTTCTGGCCCACCACGCCTCGGGCGACGCACTGCCCGCGTGCCGATTCCGGGAGGGTCGGCGTCCCGAGCCTTTCCCAGCCCCCCGCCCCGCGAGGCAGGGCGACTCGCCAGCCGCTTGCGAGGCACAGCGTGTCGCCGGGGCCGCCGCCGCGGCACGCGGAGCAGAAGTTCCTGACCGTAGCACCAGTGTGCCTGAGACGGGCCCGCCCTTCAACCGTGTGGGGCGCTCCAGCAAGGGTCTGGCCTGCTAGGATGGGGGGGGGGGCCGCGCGCGCCTTGGCGGGCAGAGCAGCACGGGCCGAAAGGGCGGGAGGAGGAGGAGGAGGAGGAGGAGGAGGAGGAGGACGTGGCGGAGGAGCAGGAGGAGCGAGGAGCGAGGAGGAGGAGCGAGGAGGAGGAGCGAGGAGGAGGAGCGAGGAGCGAGGAGGAGGAGCGAGGAGCGAGGAGGAGGAGGAGGAGGAAGAGGAGGAGGAGGACGAGGAGGAGGCGCAAGGGCGTGTGGGGCGCTCTAGCAAGGAGTTGGCATCCCTGCGCCGCCGGGGGCCAGCAGAAGACCGGCGGACGCCAGTGGAGGCAGAACGAGGGCGGCTGCGCCAGTGGATGCCTGCGGAAGGCTGGCGGACACCCGCGGAAGTAAAACCAGCCCCGCAAGAGATGTCACCATGTTTATCGGGCCTCCTCCTCCGCCTCCTCCTCCTCCTCCTCCTCCTCCTCCTCCTCCTCCTCGGGGAGGAGGAGGGCAGGCTCCCCCCCGGCCCCCCTCTCAGGCCGGGCGAAAGGGGGGGATTGGGAAAGGGGGGGTTACGAAATTTGCTGCATGCAGCTGGTTTCGGCCTCACCAAGGGGCCCGTTCCTCGATACATAGCCGCCTCCGGCGCCGGGAGGCGCCGGGATAATCAGACACGGGAGCTGATTCTCAAATCCCCCCTTTGCTATCCCCCCTTTCGCCCGACCCGAGTTTAGATCCAGGTTCTCCAGAAACCGCGATGTGGCTGGCGGGGAGATTCAGAACGACAGGTGCGCGGCGCCGA